CAGTTGCTCTGATATTAAACCCCCCTCCCCCCCCCCCCCCTCTGGGCCACATCACAACATGTCTTCAATCACTATTGTCTCACTAATCACACTCTCCCCGTCTCACTCATCTTCTTCCGCCCCATGCCTCACTTTTCTCTCTCTCTCTCCCTCCCTCCCTCTCTCTCTCTCTCCCTCTCTCTCTCTTCCTCTCTCTCTCTTCCTCTCTCTCTCTTCTCTCACTTTCCATCTATCACACCATGTTTGCTTTGTATACCTCTTTTACCCCACCCTCAGTGACCCCCTGGCATCTCCCCTCCACTGATATCCTCAAAGTACATACATACTCCGAATACCTACACAGACTACCTACACAAAATATCTTTACATAATAACTAGCTCAAAGTACTTGTCAGTAGAAACACTTTGTTTTTTATTTCGTGTCCATCACGTGTTGATCACGTGACCATGTAAGCTTGTCTTGCGCTTAACTCTAGTAGACCACTGACTACGTTAAAAGTGGGATGCTACGGGACGATAATTTGGTGGAACAAATATTTTATATTTTAGAAAAATTGTTTTCAACTAGTTAGATTTAATTAATTTAGTATAGAACCGTTCTCGTGTGCTCGTTTAACTTGCCAATTTCTAACGTATGCTCTGTTATGTTCTTTATATATATGTTTTTGTTTGGGTATGTTATGCCTGCTCATGTTTAAGATTTATATGAAAGCCATGGTGGAAGGGTGCACTAGTCCTCTCCCCCCCCCCCCCACACTTCCCACCCAAACACAGCAACGCTCAGGTTTAAGATTTATAGGAAAGCCATGGTGGAAGGGTGCACTAGTCCCCTCCCCCCCCCCCCACACTTCACACCCAAACACAGCAACGCTCTCACCGAATGCGCATAAGGCTAATGGGACAATGTTTTGTTTAATAGGGTCGTATTTTATTCCGTTAAAATTTGCGCCTGATTCCATTATTTTAAAAGCAACGTTTTGATACCAAGGGGGAGCACGACTGCTTAATGAAGCGTTCGGCACTTTGTGTCGCAAATCTAATTATGGCGTGACTAATATCACTGACGTCACTTCCGTTCTGTCCACCATTTATCGTCCGTAGCCTCACTAACGCGTTCCAATTATTTGCTTGTGCTTAGCCGACCCTACAGAACTGTAAAGGACGATTGTTTGTTAATGTACCCATATAGTTCTCCTGCTAACGGAATGTTCCACTCCTGCATCTCTAGTTCTACGTCTGCTTCGTTTCAGCTGGCAGTCGCTCCTGCTATGTTTAAGACTGCTAGACGCCGAAAGGGGGCTATTTGGGGGGCTTTTGGGGTAAGTCAAAACTGCATGTATGGGCTTTTGGTGGATGTGGCAAATGTTTGTCCCTGTGTTGCCCACATGTCTGGATCCTGGTTGTTCTGTCGTCTGCAGCCTACTTGTAACTTTGTGTTCAGCACGTATCGCATGTTTTCTCTATACTAATAATGGAATGGTTGCATGTTTTTTTTGTTGTTTTTTTTTTTCTTCTATAAACCTAACCACTTTGACTTGTAAAACTTTAGCACCATTCCATGTATATGTGCACACGCTAATTTACTTTCACCATGATAAAGTTTGATTTAAATTGTACTTTTGAGAATAAATTTAAGACACATTCTGTTTATGCCGATTTAGGTGTGCCACAGCCATTTTTGTCATTTCAACATTTAATAAATGAAATCAAAAAACATCTAATGTTAAATTACCGAAAAATAAATAACGCAATTTTATTACGCTTATAATTTAATTACACCTATAATTGTATTACACCTATAAGACTTAATTACACATATAATTTAATGGCATTTTTAATTAACTGACGTCTTTAATTAAATAAAACTTTAATATTTATATAGTATAGTTTTATATATATATTTATCAGTGTTATCATTTCTAAGGTTAAAATTATTTTATAGAAAATATTTAAATTTAGAAACCATAGAGTTAGAATGTTTCTGGTTTGAGGTTTCAGATGTGAGGAAATATAAAGGTGGTAGTGGTAGAAAACTTTCATATCGCCCATACGTCAGATAATATTATAAAGTTGAAGGAGATGTTTCTTTTATATATATGATTGTTCAGTATTTGTATTTTGACAACCCGGGTCACTTGTGTTAGAATTAAATTCCGACTAAGCATAGGAGAACATTTTTTTTTTTTAAATCACGATCTTATTGTTTTTATTTTTGTATTTCAGATCGCTGTCACAGCTCCGTTAATCAATCCCCAAATTCCACCAAGGTCATGACCTTCACCTCTTCAAAGTCACCAAGGTCATCCCCAGTCACAGCAACAACGATCAACTCCTCCGGATCTACCCCGATGCCGAGGTCAACCTCGACGTCACTAAACTCAGAAACTGCCAGAAAGCGACTGTGGGGGGACAGCAGTCTATCGGCCACGGCCAGCGTCACAACGCTGTCCAGCCGGCTTGACCACGACAGCCTTGAGCAGGCCTTCGGCATGTCCGAGGTGTCGGGGTGCTACAAGCCGAACATCAGCTTCAGCGACGACAGCGTCACGGCCAACACGATGGTCGGCAACAAATCGGACTTAGGCAAGGCCGTCAGTCAGCCGTACGAACACACGTGGCAAGCTGAGAAGTCTTCTGTGGGAGGACACGGTGTAGAGACATCAGACAGTCACACCCCCAACCCCGCCGCCAGTCACAACGCGAGCCAACAGCGCGCCACACCTTATCTCAATAGCTCTGGCACGCCCTATCGGCTGCTCACGGCCAACCTGTCCAGAATCCCCAACGAAGACTCGTCCTCCACACACGGGATGTACATAGAAGGGGCCAGTCTGTCTATATTTGAACCCACCACTTCCGGCGGTCGACCCCGAAGTTACATGAATGCATACAGGCATCCAGGGGGAGGAACTGCGCATTCCAATAAACAAAACGGCGACCACCCATCCAGCAACTACGCCAAACCCAGCAGTCACGTGACGGACATCGGAAACAGTTATCTGAACCCTGCGGTTGTCCGCGGTCGAAGTCTGGTTTCGCCCAGTCTAAGCAACAGCGAGTCCAAGACGCTGGCCGTGGACGACGGCTACTCCCTACACGACATTGACGAGGCCTTGGAAGACACCGTCACTGTACAGGACGACGACAACACGACCACTACTTCCGGGAGCTACACCATCAACGCGGAAGATCTCTGCCAGGAAATCAACCAACTATTCTTCAACGACATTGTTGTGTAGGTTCGTGGTATCTCAGCAGAGGAAAAAAAAGGCTCATTTTTCGGTACACACGTGACACAGATGTTGTCCCACGTCATCATACAAGCTCAAACATTGCGCCCACCATCAACGTGCTGGTGAGCCAGGTTTCCCCCCCCTCCCCCCTCACTTCCTGTCTTAATGCAACGTGGCATCTCCAACATGACTGGGCACTCAAGGCAACATTTGAGCCCTTTTTTTCAAGTATTTACCCAGAGAGCGAAACAGAACGATCTGGTATATACTTGTACACCGAGATAGATTATTTCCTTTATTAAATGAGCACATTTGGTTCACAAGCTCAGTGCTGACATTGACATTACAGGCCAGATCATAGGCAGCAAGTCTGTAGGGTCCATTTCTGGACATTCGCAAGCCATCACTCATTCTTCATTAAGTCATTCGCTGAGCGGATTATCATTCCGTTACTATTCATTAATGGTCCAACATTCTTTGAAGATCCATCATTCTTTGATGGTCCAACATTTATCATTCACTGAATGGCCCATAATTCATCGTATTTCATAAGTTCCATCTCCCCCCACAAATGAATAGCATTCAATCATTCCTCATAAACAGCATTCCATTGGTTAACACCAGGTGGCGCTATGGTGTTGTATATAACATTATAACACACATGATATTTTTACTACCTAATCAGGTGATACACGCCTAAGTGTTATATCTATTTATTTTAACCATGAAACAGAAGATTGTGTGCGAATGTTAACAGAAGATTGTGTGACAATGGTGACAGAAGATTGTGTGCCAATGTTGACAGAAGATTGTGTGCCAATGTTGACAGAAGATTGTTTGACAATGTTGACAGAAGATTGTTTGACAATGTTGACAGAAGAGTGTGTGCCAATCTTGACAGAAGATCGTGTGCCAGTGTTGATAGAAGATTGTGCCTGAATGTTGACAGAAGATTGTGTGCGAATGTTGACAAAAGATTGTGTGCCAGTGTTGACAGAAGATTGTGCCTGAATGTTGACAGAAGATTGTGTGCGAATGTTGACAGAAGATTGTGTACGAATGTTGACAGAAGATTGTGTACGAATGTTGACAGAAGATTGTGTACGAATGTTGACCAAAGATTGTGTACGAATGTTGGCAGAAGATTGTGTGCAAATTGCGAATGTTGACATTAGTTTTGATAGATTTACAGGTAAACCCAGACTTTAAATGGCTTTGTCTGAAACACTGCTCACCTGAACAAAGAAATACAATGCTGTTATTTGTAAGGCTAGGCTGTGTGTGGGGCTGTGAGGCATGATTGCAGAGGAAGGCTGTGTGTGGGGGCTGTGATGCATGATTGTAGAGGAAAGCTGTGTGAAGGACTATGGCGTATGATTGTAGAGGCAGGCTTTTTTTTTGGGGGGGGGGGGGGGGGGGCTGTGACGTATGCTGGTACAAGGGAAAAAAATTTTTAATGCATATGATTGTGGGGCGAATATTTGATACAGATATGTTTTTTAATCATTCACTCAGCAAATGAATGAAAGCTTTTCTTGAGTGATGTAAATATTGTTCTATAGTGTTCATTAACTTATTTTGTCTTTTTATTCCATCATCGACTTTGTTGAACTAAAGTGATGTGCATTTGACAAACATCTGTTTGTTCTCCGACATAAACACACCCGTGTAATTTCACCCGCCAGTGTTATCTGACACATTATTTTAGAAATCTATGACACACTTGTGTAAAACAGGACAAACGTGTGTGTTCTATGACACACATTTTATATAATCTATGACACACTTGTTTATTCTATGACACATTCGTGTAAAATAGGACAAACACCTGCGTGTTCCTCGATACACATTTATATGATATATGACACACTTGTATATTCGTTGACACGCTGGTGTTACATAGGACGTACACCGGTGTGTTGTCAGATACATATTTATAATACAATCAACGTCACACTTGCGTGGCCTATGCTCCAACCTTGTGAAATCTACAACACACTCCCGTGTGTGTTTTATGGCGTGCACGGTTGTGATCTGTGGCAGACAAATGTGCTCTAGCCTTGACTATCGAAGACCTACAGAGTTTCTGATATCAATTATACACACACCAGTATGACATCATTGTTTCTAATATCAGCCATGCACACATCGGTATGAGATGATTGTTTCTGATATCAATCCTGCACACATCAGCGGGAGAAATGTATTTAGTATTATTATTATTGCCTGTACATATTTGACGCGAAGAAAGAATTTTGCTGAATAATCGTATTTAGTCTTTACAACGACATTATTTAATGGCATAAACAAGATGTCGTCCCTGTTGATAGTTGATAAGGTGTAGCCCTGTGTTGATAGTTGATACGGTGTAGCCCTGCGTTGATAGGTGATACGGTGTTCTATAAATTGCACTGGCTCAATACAATTACTGGAAGACACGATCCCCAGGCAGGCGATGGCCGCTGACATTTCTTTGAAAGACTGTATACTCTTTACACACCATTTGACCCTTTGAATAACTTCGATAGGTTGCAACGGTTTCCAAAGGTTGCAACGGTTTCCAAAGGTTGCTTGTTCTGGAACATTTCAAAGAACAATCGAACCGAGCACCACGGAAACCACGAGTTTTCATACAACGTGCCGAAGAATTGTCACAAATGTTGTAGGCAAATTTTATTTAATTAGACGTGTACATATTTCTTTAAAAAAAATTTTTTAACATCGGCTTAACTCTAGGACTGGTGACAGTAAGTTAAGGAATCTGCCGTTTGAAAAGAAGAAAATAGTTTCCCACAAATCATGTTGTAATGAATGAGACGATAGTTTCGAATATCACTAACATCAGTGTGTTAAATGAAATCAAATAGCTTTCTTAGTTCATGCTAACATTTATGTTTGCCGCAACACTAACGAAAATAATTGTATCACTTGTTAACGCAGACGGAATAGTACATCGTGTGTGTGTGTGTGAGAGAGAGAGAGATGGTAGGTCACACTGACCTGACCTGACTGATGGTGTGCGTGTTGTCTGAAAGGGTTGGGGGGGGCGGAAGGAGGGGGGGGGGCGGAAAGAAGGCGTTGCGGAAAGAAGGCGGGGCGGAAAGAAGGCGTTGCGGATGTGTTTCATGTGCATGCGCGCGTGATCAGTGATTGGTGAGGGGTGTGAGATAAATGTTTGATGAGTGTGTGAGATATGTGAGTAATTGTTGATGGATGGACACGATTGTAATTATGATAAACACGAGGTTGTGAAGGTTTCTCATATTTTTATACAAATATTAAAAACACATTTTGTTCATTTGTTATTAAAATGTGAAGATTTGAACAAAACAACAAAAAAATTCTTTGATTCCTTTATTTGTAAACTAAACCAATTGATGACCTTTTTTACTTTACAAACTGAATACTATTTCCTTGCTGTCTGAATTATTTCCTTGCTGTCTGAATTATTTACTTGCTGTCTGAATTAATTACTTGCTGTCTGAATTATTTACTTGCTGTCTGAATTATTTACTTGCTGTCTGAATTATTTACTTGCTGTCTGAATTATTTACTTGCTGTCTCAATTATTTACTTGCTGTCTCAATTATTGACTTGCTGTCCTCTTAAAACATTTCATTCTTTGCCGTCTTTAATTAAAAGGAGACATTACACAGTGTCCCAACGGGTTGTTATTATATAATCAACTCAACAATGCATCAAAATAAAAATATCAAATGACAAATAGAGATAGTGCTCGACTTACGACCTATGCAACTTACGACCATTCGACTCTACGACCACAATCACTAGCCATGCTGTGTTAGATTTCAGATTTTATTTCTGCCTCAATCATCAGTCGGACGGCGTTGTCTGCAATCATCAGTCGGACGGCGTTGTCTGCAATCATCAGTCGGACGGCGTTGTCTGCAATCATCAGTCGGACGGCGTTGTCTGCAATCATCAGTCGGACGGCGTTGTCTGCAATCATCGGCGGTCGTGAACATCGGACATTATGATTTATAACAATAATAAAAGAAATTTATGAGATAATTTAACTTAAATATTTTTATAACATCACTTCGCGTTACTGTACACGTAGCGTGCTCAACTTAAAAAAACAAATCGTTTACGACCGGTCTGTCGGAACCGATCGTGGTCGTAAGTCGAGCACCAGCGGTATATCAAAATAAAATTAAAAAACAGCAACTGAACAATGCATAAAATCTTCAAGAAACTGTGAGCGTCAAAGGAGCTGGACTCTGGAAACCAAAGTCAGAATTTTCAACACAAACGTCAAAGCAGTCCTAATCTATGGAGCCGAACCTTGGAGAACAACAGCGAGCATTACGCAGAAAGTGCAGACCGTCCTAGACACTTGCCATAGAAAGATCTTGAACATCAAATGGCCGAACACCATCATCAAAAAAGACTTACTGTAAAGGACATGCCAGGAGCCTATTGCTGAAGACATCATGAGGATAAGGTGCTGGTGGATAGGACACTCACTTGGTAAACTCTCAATCACCAGACAATCCCTAACATGGAATCCACAAGGAAAATGAAAGAGAGGTAGGCCAAAGAGTACATAGAGTTGCGAGCTAGAGACAGACACAATCAGAATGGAATACATGGAACTAGAGGCAGGCACACAGAGTATTGGATACACCTGTAATCAACTGGAAAGGAAAGGACATGACCTAGATAAATAGAAAATTCTTGTAGACGGCCTACGCCCCATACGGGTAAAGGCACAATAGGTTGAAGTAACTATGCATCAAAATAATTATACCAACTGACCAATGCATCAAAGTAATTATACCAACTGACCAATATATCAAAATAATTATACCAACTAACCAATGCATCAAAGTAATTATGCCAACTGACCAATACATCAAAGTAATACAAGCCACTAATCCAAGCTCTCACATTGAGCTGGTAGATCTGTCAGTCAGAAACATTCAAAAATATTGTTAAAAAATCGCAATAACTAAACATTAAGGCAAAAGGAAAGAAAATTTAAATTATCTCAAAATATGTCTCTCTAACTCCGCCTGTGCTCCTCACCCCAACCTCCTCACCTCAACCTGCTCACCCCAACCTCCTCGTGTCTTCTCTCGTTTCACTAGTGAGCCAAATAAATCACACATAGGAATATCTTCAGAATTATTTTTAAAATGACTATGTTCCGATCTCTAGTAAGAAGATGCTCAGCGTTTTTGTAAGGATGTGTTCAGAACTTATGTAGAATTTTTTTCAGAACTGTGTCAAGAAGATGTTCATATCTTTGGTAAGACTATGTCATTCAAAGCTTTTAGACAGAATACCTTCAGAGCTTTGTTAGGCATGTAACAGAGCTTTGGTGAGAGGGGGCAGAACTTTAGTGAGCATGGGGCAGAGCTTTGGTGAGCATGGGGAAGAGCTTTGGTGAGCATGGGGAAGAGCTTTTTTTAGGCATGGGACCAAGCTTTGGTAGGCATGTGACAGAGCTTTCGTAAGCATGTGACAGAGCTTTGGTAGGCATGTGACAGAGCTTTGGTAGGCATGTGACAGAACTTTGGTAGGCATGTGACAGAACTTTGGTTGGCATGTGATAGAGCTTTGGTAGGCATGTGATAGAGCTTTGGTTGGCATGTGACAGAGCTTTTTTTAGGCATGGGACCGAGCTTTGGTAGGCATGTGACAGAGCTTTCGTAGGCATGTGACAGAGCTTTCGTAGGCATGTGACAGAGCTTTCGTAGGCATGTGATAGAGCTTGGCAGACGATGAATAAAATTTCAAGCCAGCAATAAAACAACTTTTTGGGTTAGAAACGTATGGGCTTGATGGTCATGACATTGACTGGGAATCAAGAACATAAACGCAAACATACAAGTACATTTTTAGCTTGGGAAACAGTAGTTACTAGAAATGGATTGCTACAGTCAGTTGTAGATGGAATACTAGAAATGGTTTGCTACAGTCAGTTGTAGATGGAATACTAGAAATGGATTGTTACTGTCAGTTGTAGATGGAATACTAGAAATGGATTGTTACTGTCAGTTGTAGATGGAATACTAGAAATGGATTGTTACTGTCAGTTGTAGATGGAATACTAGAAATGGATTGTTACTTTCAGTTGTAGATGGAATACTAGAAATGGATTGTTACTGTCAGTTGTAGATGGAATACTAGAAATGGATTGTTACTGTCAGTTGTAGATGGAATACTAGAAATGGATTGTTACTGTCAGTTGTAGATGGAATACTAGAAATGGATTGCTACAGTCAGTTGTAGATGGAATACTAGAAATGGATTGTTACTGTCAGTTGTAGATGGAATACTAGAAATGGATTGTTACTGTCAGTTGTAGATGGAATACTAGAAATGGATTGTTACTGTCAGTTGTAGATGGAATACTAGAAA